TAGCCATGAAGCAAATGCGTGACATTGTGATTTAGATATTTTTATTATTAAATTTAGATGCAGTAACTGTTATTTAATAATATCGCTAATATTGCAATGTTGAGGTCTATGTATACGAATGCCTTTTGAATGAAACGTAATGAAACTTTTAGAACTTTTAGATACACTTTTAGATTCATTATAAATTTGTGACATATAATGGATACATCTCTTTTATAGAGTTACATAAGAGATGTATATATTTAAACACCGTAAATTATTTTTCTTGTAATTTTACAGCTAATTTTTATTGAGTTATACTTAGCTGTAATTTTACAATATGTTTGTCATATATCTAATGTTATTCGAGAATAAAAAAGAATAATGAAACATATTATGCATAGTTGATCAAATTCATATAAAATTGACAGTTTCTATACATTACGTTTCCTTCAATTGATATATTACAATGAGAATCAAGAATATTAATGTTAAATGAAAATAACTGAGTGAAATGATTTGTTTAAACAACCCGTTATTGCTATTTATTTATGTGTACTCTGATACACTTGCAATTATATTAAAATTTCACTGATGGAAAAATTAACTATAGTGAAGCTTTTTGTGGCTACTTTCAACATAAAAGCTCCAAATAGACTTTTTTTTACTATGGTGTTTAGAGGAGTAAAAATGAAGAATAAACATTTATTTGTACATACAACATCAAAGTATATAAATATCGAACAAGTATAAAAAAATTGAATTACTCGATTGTAAGTATCCTTGATAAATGGCAGACACTGCCTCGACAATTATTTCACGAAAAATCAACACCACAATCTTGTAAGATGCACACATACTTATTGCATATGATAGCAAATATAAAATCAATGTTGGACTATTTACGCAATACGTATCTGTGAGAGAGAAGTATAAAATTCAGTACGAAAGAAAAAATTATAAACCTTACAATTATATAGAGATTATTTTAAAGTTATTATTAATTAAAATAAATCTCAGCTTTGTAATTCATTGTTTTGCTCTTCGCACCTACGACATACATATTAATATAATTTTAATAAATTATATATAATCCCCCTAGTATATATTATAATGATCATATATTTCTAAAAATGTATATTTAATCAAATTTTTGCAAAAGTTATTAAGCCATAAATAGTCATAAGTTAATTTCCTTGTCATGATTTTGACTTCTATTTTATACCACAGCAACTATCTAAAATTTAATACAAGGCTAGACGATTATTATTCTATGAACAGCTTCTGCTATAAAAATTGATGTGTGTGATAAAACAAAACAAAAGAAATACTTATTATTATTCGTCGGGAATTTATAAGCGTATAACTCTGCAGCTGAAATGAAATTATTAAAAATATTACGTTTATTAATTATTACTTTATCAGCATTACAAAAGATAAAATATGTAGATATCCTATACAATATTTAAAGCAAAAACAGAAAGAACTATATAATGATTGCAAAGTATTATATATCAACATATTGTAAATATGTTTATTTATAGTATTCATATTTTGCTGTTTCATTTATATGACTAATTCATGTTTCAAATATTGCATCAAGTGTGATAGGTCAATGTTGAGAGTACGAAAATATTGGCCATTCAGTCGCTTGATATCAAGTATTTTATATAATATTGATTAATCCTATCCATTGATTTATAATTAGGCAGAATAGTCGAGAAATAATTATAATCAATTTCATCTACATGCGTCAAAAATAAGTATTAAATCTCTATAGAGAAAAATTTTTTCTCTCTTCTCTTTTTCAATTTCAAACAGTAAGAGCTCAGAAATATTTAGTGCTGAAAAGTTATAATATCGATATAAATATGTCTTAAAAAGTATAAAATCGTTTTATATATATATATATATGCCTAATATATATTGTGATGTAATTATGATATATTCAATGGCAACCTGTTGTAAAATGAAAACATGCTACAAAGTAATGGAGCAAACCTAATTGAAGAGTCATTTACCCAACGGTATTATGCATTTCGCATATATATAAAGCGAAGTACATACTATTCTTACAAGCATTTTCTGTGTAGCTATATATATATTAATAAGATATGGTACATAATCATCTATACCTCTCGCTTTTTATAAATTTTTAATTTTATTATAGTGTGCAGTTTAAAGTAAAAAGAAATGTGGATTATTATTAACAGATATATTACAAATGGGGCAATCTTTAACATCCGATAAGAAAATTATTTCCAGCTGTGACATGTTGACACATGTGTGCAATTTGCATAAAATTATCGTATCTATATATGTCTTATCACGTAAACATCCGTGATTATATCGGACTGTACTAGGTCAATGTCGGAAATCGCAAATTAGCGACAAGTAATCGCCCCGAGTGTGAAAAACAACGGAAAGAATTCCTTCGCGAATATTTCTTTGTCATCTTTTTTTGCAAGCTACTCTCTACATATACGCGCCCCTATATATGTATGTACGCATATGAACAGATGTACGCGCCGGTATGCGGAATGCAGCCGGCACACATGACGCCGGCGATCATCCGATATTACGTCATCGTCACCCTGTCGCGATGAAGCGCTCGCGACCGCGCATTAAGACGCGTATGTCAGTACACCGTGTCGCGTGGACACGAACGTCAAACGTAGCAGTATATCGAAAAATTACGCATTCGATTCGATCGATGCATTGGGATTTATTGATCCAACGCGTGAGTCGGGAATCCCGCGTTATCACGCGTTATTTTCAATCTTTTCGCGAGTCTTGAAATTATATCGACACACCCCGCCGCTAGACCACGTTGCGGCGCCCGGCAAATTTCGAAGAGTGACTTGTGTTTGTGTATGCACGCGCGCGGCTGTTCGATACGGTAAGAATTCACAGCTACGTTTTACTCCGAATTCCGTTTGACAGTTTGACTCAAGTATCGAAAATAGAGTACCTACTATCGTGGAAAGAATTCGTGAATTTATATAGTACGTAATTGTTGTCGATATCGCTCTCGTATGTCACATTTGAGAGTGACACATGACACGAAATGATTAATGCAAATACCGATGTGAGAAATATAATTTTTCTCGAGTGATATATGAAAAGTTATAATATCGATATAAATATGTCTTAAAAAGTATAAAATCGTTTTATATATATATATATATGCCTAATATATATTGTGATGTAATTATGATATATTCAATGGCAACCTGTTGTAAAATGAAAACATGCTACAAAGTAATGGAGCAAACCTAATTGAAGAGTCATTTACCCAACGGTATTATGCATTTCGCATATATATAAAGCGAAGTACATACTATTCTTACAAGCATTTTCTGTGTAGCTATATATATATTAATAAGATATGGTACATAATCATCTATACCTCTCGCTTTTTATAAATTTTTAATTTTATTATAGTGTGCAGTTTAAAGTAAAAAGAAATGTGGATTATTATTAACAGATATATTACAAATGGGGCAATCTTTAACATCCGATAAGAAAATTATTTCCAGCTGTGACATGTTGACACATGTGTGCAATTTGCATAAAATTATCGTATCTATATATGTCTTATCACGTAAACATCCGTGATTATATCGGACTGTACTAGGTCAATGTCGGAAATCGCAAATTAGCGACAAGTAATCGCCCCGAGTGTGAAAAACAACGGAAAGAATTCCTTCGCGAATATTTCTTTGTCATCTTTTTTTGCAAGCTACTCTCTACATATACGCGCCCCTATATATGTATGTACGCATATGAACAGATGTACGCGCCGGTATGCGGAATGCAGCCGGCACACATGACGCCGGCGATCATCCGATATTACGTCATCGTCACCCTGTCGCGATGAAGCGCTCGCGACCGCGCATTAAGACGCGTATGTCAGTACACCGTGTCGCGTGGACACGAACGTCAAACGTAGCAGTATATCGAAAAATTACGCATTCGATTCGATCGATGCATTGGGATTTATTGATCCAACGCGTGAGTCGGGAATCCCGCGTTATCACGCGTTATTTTCAATCTTTTCGCGAGTCTTGAAATTATATCGACACACCCCGCCGCTAGACCACGTTGCGGCGCCCGGCAAATTTCGAAGAGTGACTTGTGTTTGTGTATGCACGCGCGCGGCTGTTCGATACGGTAAGAATTCACAGCTACGTTTTACTCCGAATTCCGTTTGACAGTTTGACTCAAGTATCGAAAATAGAGTACCTACTATCGTGGAAAGAATTCGTGAATTTATATAGTACGTAATTGTTGTCGATATCGCTCTCGTATGTCACATTTGAGAGTGACACATGACACGAAATGATTAATGCAAATACCGATGTGAGAAATATAATTTTTCTCGAGTGATATATCATCACTTGTTAGTATAATATTTTAGCACATATAGACATCACATGTGGAACACGAATTATTGCGTTTCGCAAAATTAACTTTTTGTCCGTGAAGTAGTCAATGACTCGATGTTAATTAAAACGGAACATTATATATTCGAATTGTCATCGTCAGCAGCGATCGAACCTTGACATACCATATACATTCGTAACGGTAAATGCATTGTAAATGAGAAAACGGAGAAAAAAGCGGAAGGAAGAGCGCCAATACGTTGATCTTACACGGTCGAGCGATCGTAAAAGTCATGTGACGCATAAAATCGAGCGTTGCACCATTTTCTCGGAGAAACTTCACAAATTTTTGAAAACACGTTTCGAGAGATTTCATTTTTTATAGGGAGAATAATCTCATTACACGAATTTCATGCAAAATATATATATATATATATATATACATATGTTTGGTCTAAATATACACGTGTAAATAAACATTTCAAATTTATACGAAGAGAAAACGACCAATCACGCATTTAATATATAAAATGCAACAACATGACATTTCTCGTATTAAAAACGTGATTGGTCAGCTTCTCATATGTTTTATGCGGCTAATGCAAATTCGCCTAAATAATCTTAACATTCGAACAGGTTTTAGATCTATTCTTTGTTGTGCACTGTAAGGATTACATTCCCTGCACTCAAATTGAAATAGATCTATAATTAAGTAAAGGTTAGAGAGAGAGAGAAAAAAAAGGAGAAATGAATTATTGTAGTACGGAAGGTGCAGTTGACAAAGAATTGACCTATCGTGGCGGGCGTCTGCTAGGTCAGCTGTTTGCATAGCGTGGTTGTGTGGCCATAAACGCTGTCGAAGTAAAACTCCCTCGCATGTTGCGTCACGTTGCATTTAACGCCCAGTTTTTTTTTAAGTCACATTACGAAATCCGTTACGATTTTGATCTTTGTTCGCCTAACTCTACGAAACGACCGTGCGCTATATTCGGTATTAGGGTCTGAGGAAAAATTCAACGCTACTGAGAATCGTACCCGTTTTCGGCCCAGCTGTTTCTCGTCGCTTTTCTCGCACGAGGAGGAACGTCGCGAATCGCGACCAACAGATTCGATCGCCCGTGACCGTAAGTGCTAAAAAATTTCACCAACAACGATTCTCGCATTGCACGTATCGACGAACGGCGAATTTCGTTTGTCACACGATTTTTACGGTGTAAAATTTCCTTGGACGAAACAATGACGGCACACGGCACGTCGCCGGACGTGCGTGGCACGCGACTCGCGGACGCGGCGTCGTGTGACGTCGACCGTTAGATCACGAATTTCGATCTTTAAAGCTTATCTCCCAACGCAAAAGGATTATGCCGTCGTGGGTTATACGTTACCTCTCTATCCGCGATAGTGTAATTACGGTTACAATTCGTTTTTCTTCCCAAATATATGGATGTTAATATATACTTATCAGTATAATTTTGTTTCTGTAAACGCAAATATGTGACACCACTAACTCAGAATACTAGTAGCAATTAAAATTCAATCATATTATTCAATCATAATATACTTGTCATTTATGTAACATATTGATAGTCACAAGACATAGATGTCCTTTTTTTATCTCATCATCAGAATAATACTGCATAATTTGATGGTGACATCCATACATTTACAGTTAAACGAAAGCTGTATGGCAACAGCATTGCAAAAGTAAGAAAATGTCCAGGAAGCGTCCCAGAGAAGAAACTATGCTGACTGCTGTATCCCATCAGAACAATGTTAATGGAGAAAGTGCGTCCTGCTCGAGGGAAGAGTCTCCTGTTCATGCTGTAAGTATTAATTTATGTCATTAGCACAAGCAAATAAACAATAGAGTCACAGTATCGTTACATCTGATCTAAAAACATACCATTGTAAAATTACAAAATGAATTATATATATTTATATTTATATTTATAAATTCCTCATATTAAATCTACTGATATCATCAATGTTATTCATAAGAGACACAATTGTCTAAAATTGTCTACTGTGAAGATAACATAATATTGCTCTTTAACTGATAATAACCTGGCGTGATGCCAGATTGGCATATCTAATACGATAAAAGCTTGGAAATACTTTAGCACTCCAACAGTTTTGTTCAGTATCTAAAAGTGAAGTCATGACATATTGAATACAATTTAACATTTATTTAAAAACTTACCTTCTACAATTTTATCTAAAAAGCTAAATGCAATTGTATAACTACTGTTTTTAATTAAACATCAAGTATTTTATGTGTTTTTAATATAAAAGTTAATTATAATATTTAACATAGAGCTAACATAAAATATAAGTTTTATGTTCATTATAAATATCAATTAATCAAATTGTCAAATTGTAAAGAATTGTTAAAAGCAATGACTTGGGGTTCTAAACAGAATTGTACTGAAAATAACAGTGCAAATTTATTGTTTATAAAAAATTGTAATCAAGTTTCCATATATCATGAAAAATTTCAAGTAAGTTTTACTTTCTTTATCCCTTTTTTATATAATATATTAAAATAAGAATATATGATATATTATTATACAATTGAGTAAATTGAAATGAGATAATGTTAAACACAATCTATAATTAAATACACAAACTCAAGAGAGAATTTTTTCCTCTTAACTTTATATTTGTGTGCAAAATATCAACAATTTAATTTCTTATTTATTCTAGTCTATTTGTAAAGAAGCACCTTTCAGCGATGAGTTAGAGGCTATTATAGAAAGGAATGCATGTGATTACAACACAAGAATTACCTTAAAACAAGCAAGGAGTGGTAAAGGTGTATATTTCAAAGATGTCCTTGTTAATAATATTAAATATCATGGACTATTTTTTTTTTATTTCTATGTGTTATCTAATTTCTTTTTCAGTTCCTAGAAAAATTAGAGTTTATGCCGATGGTATTTATGATCTTTTCCATCAAGGACATGCACGGCAACTTTTACAAGCAAAGAATATTTTTCCAAATGTTTATCTTATTGTTGGAGGTAATTATGCAAAACTATTTTAAAAAATTGATTTTTCTATGTACTATTTACTATGTACTATTTTTCTATGTACGATTCTACTATTTACATGTTATAAATCATTTATTGTAATTATATTATAATTTATTACTTTACTTATATTTCTAAATTATGATAATCCTACAAATATTTATAGTATATCGAACATAATTATTTATTATAGTGTGTAATGATGAATTGACACATAGCAAAAAAGGGAGAACTGTAATGACAGATATGGAAAGATATGATGCTGTTAGACATTGTAGATATGTAGATGAAGTTGTCCGAGATGCACCCTGGGAACTCGATGATGAGTTTCTTAAAAAACACAAGGTACAGTCATCAAAGAATAATTCATGTTTTTATATTTCAAAATCTATTTAGTAAAATACTACACATTTTACAATTATTTTATAAAAAAATTAAATGTTGAATGAATATTATATTACAGATTGATTTTGTTGCTCATGATGATATACCATACATGACAGATGATGTATCAGACGTTTATGCTAATCTAAAAACTAAAGACATGTTTGTAGCTACACAGAGAACAGAAGGCGTTTCCACTTCGGATATAGTTGCAAGAATAGTCAAAGATTATGATATATATGTTAGAAGAAATCTTGCACGAGGTTATAGTGCAAAGGAACTTAATGTTTCTTATCTCAATGTAAGTTTCTGTTAATTGTTGCATAATGATATCTATATGTCATATTCAAATTGTTAGATGCAAAGAGATATCGCAATCATATAAATTGAAAAAGAAAAATACAATATAATCACAAAAGAGTTATTATAACAAATCAAATATAGTTATAATAAAAAAAACTTTACAGGAGAAAAAGTTTCGCCTACAAAACAAATTGAATGAGATGAAAGATAAAGGAAAAAGAGTAATGGAAAATATTGGTGAGAAACGAATCGATATGATAAGTAAATGGGAAGAGAAATCTCGGGAATTTATCGATACGTTTCTTTTGCTATTTGGAAGAGAAGGCAGATTGGTATATATACATATAGATATATATGTACACATAATATACATATATGTATATTGTATAGATATATCAAAAGTTTTCATTTGTAGTCAACAATTTGGAACGAAAGTAAAGGCCGTTTGATGCAAGCATTGTCTCCACCAGCAAGCCCAAAAAGGGATGGCAGTCCAAATAGCAGTACCAGCAGTCATAATGATGAAGATCAGACAAGGTACATTTTTGAATATATATTAGAAAGTTCATATATATCTCTATGATACTAAACTATTTTATACATCTTATATTATATAGTCCACCACCAAACAAGACAGGACGCTATGAGTTTTCACATCAAAACAATCATTATTTAAGCGATGATTATAGCGATGATGAAGAGGAAAATTTACACTCTAAATGATAATTGATTACATTAAAGAAGCATATATATTCTTTTTGACCAAACTATCGTGCAATTTTTATTTATTACCTGGAAAATTTAGATGTATTTTCATACAATTGCATGAATTGCTGATACAGAGTGTAATGCTATGCTTGATGAATTTTGTATGATATGAGCTGATATTATGTATTAAACATATTGTCTATTGTGATGTGAAAGTTTAATGTGATCTTGCAAATTTTATTATTTACATCATAATATATACATGATGGCTTAGATGATACATGTAGACTGTTTAAAATAATGTAATATTCAATGTTTTTTTATTGTTATTTCAGAGACACTTTTGCACTCAGTTCCTATATTCTTTAATGCAAATGCAATCGTTATTTATACCTTTAATTTTATACTTTATACTTTATTATGATTATAAACCTTGATTGTGTGACATACAATGACTCCTAGTAGTTATAAGCATAATTTCTGATCTTATTGTAAGCACACAAGTCATTCTCCAATGGTCGAGCAAATCGATTTAAAATTTTATTTGATATCTAAAGTTAATATTTTAGAATATTTAAACTTTGTTTTCAATAAATTTTCCAAAAGATCTACATCTGTAAGAACAGTTTGTTGGATAAATAAGATACATAAATCTATACTCCAAGATACAATCTTGTGGTGATCCCAATAATGTGCTTATAATCAAAGATCATTGTATATCCATATTTTTAAGAGTAAATATTGATAATATAATTGTATTTATACAATTATATTATCAATATTTATACAATATGTAAAATATTGATTATTAATTAAGATGCTATAGATTATTTCATAATAAATTCTTTGTGTTCAGAAATTTTTATAAAATAGTCTTAATTAATTGCACAAATAATCTCTTTCATATTTATGCATGTAAATTCTAATTTTGTTTAAAGAAAACAGTTATAATATATTTTGAATTAATTTTTATTTTAAATTGCACAACTTAGTATATAATATTGTTTATAAATAACAAGAGAGAGATATAAATACTTTCAAATCGTTCTAGATTACAAAATTTTGTCATATTCCATATTGTGAATAAGAAATAAACACAAACATTTAGAGTCAGATACTTATAAAGAAAGAGAATTTGTTTTAATATATTAGACATTTAATAAAAATTTATGGAACAAATCATTCTATTTTCTGTAATTATATATTATTATTTTACGTTTTTTATATAAGCATTTAAAAAAATCTTTGATTGCATTGCAAACATAATTAATCAAAGAATAAGATATAATATTTTTTGATCAAAAATCAAGCAAATTATAAAATCGAAATTATTAATTATATCACTATAAATTTAGAGGAAGTACAGTTTTAATGTTAACATATATTAGCAAAATAAGATCAGTATAATGAGCTAAACTAAATGAATGCTACACTTATATATGAAACAGATTTATGCCTACAATAATTTTTCATAATATACCAACGCTGCCGCAATTTGATATATGTAGCTTGCATTTAATATTTATTGTTGTGCGATCTCATATCTAATCTCTAAAATATTTTTAAAATAAAATAAATGTTTTTTTTCTCTTATTTAGAAAAAAAGGAGTACAGTATATAATATACATTTTATAATCATGTATACATTCTTACACTTTTTAGATACATAAATTATGAAATTGCAGATAGCTTCTCATATGTACAAAAATTAATTTTGTAGTCTTGAAAGTATATTTAATAGTATGTTTTGTGTGTATTAAAAGTCACACATACAGTCTTACTCATAATGTATAGTTGAAAGCAAATATATCTAATAAATAAAGTTGGAATTTTTAAAATTACAATGTGCCTGAAATTGTTCTCATTTGCACCTTTACTTACCTGTTTATACTTCTTTAATACATCTTTTTTATTTTAAATTTTCAAGGAAACATTAATTAGTATATACTTATTATTCATACTTGATGAATTACACTTCCTTTAGATATTTTTATACAAGATTTTCAGATGTTATCTGAATGCTTTGCTCTTCCATCTTCATATATACATTATTATAAGCACATTTTTGTAAATTTCCCTTGATATGGCTATATATGTGCTCCTTTTTTATTAATTTAATAAATTTCTTGAAGGCTGTTTATTAAATTATCAAAAGTTAACAGATCGGATATCTTGGGTTTGCTAAACCCGTACTCACAATGTGAGCCCCTGAGAGATTCTGTATAAATTCCATTTTTACAACAAATGTAAAATAGTTCATAATAACGTAGATAGAAGAAAATAGTTTTGAATTTTCTCAACCAATAGTTACGCATTGAAAATATATGGTTGCTTCAGGTATAGAGGCATGCACACGTAAAGTTTAAAATTCCCTAGTTTACTAAAGTATGAAGATGCGACTATCATTGGTCTCGTTCGGCAGAGAAAGCGCTCAGTTATCGTCCTGTCAACGCTCGACGTTGATTTGTTGGTTCTAAAAGTAAGAGCCAAAAACGTTCGATCGCTACTGAGCGGTTTCTCTGCCGAACGGGCCCATTCATATATTCATGAGGACAATAATGTTCATAGAGTATCGATTTTGTAATTCAAGTGAGAATTAAAATTACAAAAATGAGCGAATTTATTAGATTTGGACCAATGAAATTATATATTTTCTAGTAAATTCGTTCATTTTTGTAATTTTCACCCTCACTTGAATTACAGAATCGATACCCAGAACTTTTTTTCACTTTTCTTCCTATTTTCATTCTTTTTCAGCATAATTTATATGCAAAGGCCGTCGTGCAATTGCCGCCAAATATAAGCCATTTAAATGTTACTGAAAAAGAAGGAAAAAAGAGAAAGGAAGTGAGAGGAAAGTTTAGATGGCGTTACTGAGTAACTTATCTATTTCGCGCATGCGAACTCCATTTTGGCCAACATAAAATCAAAAGAGTCGCGCTACTGTATATACTATACTGTGCCTCCGCGACGACGGGACAGACACAGACGGGAGCGTCGTTACGCGTCGAAGACGGAACACGCTCGGGAAGAGTAAAAAGGGGAGGAAGGGGGACGGACCAATGTTGTAACGTACGTGCCAAAATGGAAGAGCCAAGCATTCACGGCAGTATCGGCGATATAAATAGTGCGGAGACAACCAAAAGTAAGTGCGAATCTGTCAACATTAAATTATTCTCGATTTGTAATTTTCACCCTCACTTGAATTACAGAATCGATACCCAGAACTTTTTTTCACTTTTCTTCCTATTTTCATTCTTTTTCAGCATAATTTATATGCAAAGGCCGTCGTGCAATTGCCGCCAAATATAAGCCATTTAAATGTTACTGAAAAAGAAGGAAAAAAGAGAAAGGAAGTGAGAGGAAAGTTTAGATGGCGTTACTGAGTAACTTATCTATTTCGCGCATGCGAACTCCATTTTGGCCAACATAAAATCAAAAGAGTCGCGCTACTGTATATACTATACTGTGCCTCCGCGACGACGGGACAGACACAGACGGGAGCGTCGTTACGCGTCGAAGACGGAACACGCTCGGGAAGAGTAAAAAGGGGAGGAAGGGGGACGGACCAATGTTGTAACGTACGTGCCAAAATGGAAGAGCCAAGCATTCACGGCAGTATCGGCGATATAAATAGTGCGGAGACAACCAAAAGTAAGTGCGAATCTGTCAACATTAAATTATTCTCGATTTCATCCTTCAAACGTAGAATGACGTCGCTACGCGATCTCTCGTTCGGTCGCTACGCGACGATGAGGACTTGCCTGCGCTTGCCCTTATATTGTTTTGAATTTATACTAAAGACCGTTGCATATTTACGGTGAAAATACTTGTAGGTACATATCTGATGAGGGGTTAAAAACCCTTGTCAATTTCTCTTCAATTATTTTCTATACAAAGAGACCGTCTTATTTCTCAAGGTTCAAGGTTTCTCCCCAATTTTCGCGATTCTTCCGAAACTTCACTCGCTGCACTACTTATTCAACATGACGATTCGATCTATTTTTTTTTTTTTTTTTTTTTTTTTTTTTTTTTTTTTTGTATCAGGCGTTAGAAACAATCAGCCAAAAAGCAAAAAAAAAAAAAAAGGAAAAGAAAAATGTATCTTCGTCTCGGTTTGTCTCGTAAACTCGGCCTTGATTTCCTCAAAACGGCGTCAAAAACAAACCGTCTCTTTGCGGCAAATACCCGTAGAAAATTTCTTAAAAATGACAATGTTTTCGCAGTAATTCACTCATAATCGCTTGCAATGTTCGTTTATGACTCTGTTTGCTTTCCTTTCCTCTTTCTCTTTCTATGTTCCTCTCTTTCCTAGCCTACTTTGTGTATCAACGTTTAAATTTTACATAGCAACGTTGAAATGGTTAAAAATAGCACATACTACTGACAAATCTTTCTATTAAGAAGAGAAAATTTACTTTCTTCATCTCATAATTATTATGCAATTATTATTATTATTATATCTATTATAATATATCAATATATAACATTTATCGAAATTTTTTATATTATATGTAATATTAATTATGTATATGTTAAGAAGTCAATGCGTTTTATTAGAAAATGTTTATTATTTTTTCTCTTTTATTTTCCCGAAATAATAATGTGACTACATATATAAATTGATATATTAACTAGAAGTTTGCGGGGGCGGTAAAATATTCAAAAATATCAATTTGGATAATCTCGGAAATGTTTTTGGATCAGGCCGAAATCTTGAAAGTATCTTGTCACATAAGTATGTTCAGTTATCTATCATTTCGAATACATTTTTGTACGTATTTATGTGGCAAGTTATTTTCGAGATTTATTTCGATCGCAATCGTCAGCATATGTTTGTTGCTTTATCAAGTATCCGAAAAAATTATTATAATGCACAATATGTATATTTATGACATGAAACAAATCTAATTATACCCGGCGCATTCTCTATAATCAATATTTAAAAAAAACTAATATTTATACATATAAGTTTAATTCATCTTGAAATAAATATTGGATTAATAAGATGAAGATAAGATGAAGAAAGTAAAGAAGGCTTATTTTTTTATAGATTACTTATTTAAAATAGTTTATCTCTCAATGAAAACAAAAAAAGGATTTTAAATGATGTCAAATAGAAATCCAAATTATTAGAGTTTTATGATAAAAATCTGACATCTTTCCCTTTCGTGCTTTTCGCAAGTTAATTATCTTACGCCGAGCACGTGAATCGCGTATACCAGATGTGTACATATACATACACGCGACTTCCCGTTGTCTATGATAGAGTCGATGAGAGATAGAGCCTACTTTGTGTATCAACGTTTAAATTTTACATAGCAACGTTGAAATGGTTAAAAATAGCACATACTACTGACAAATCTTTCTATTAAGAAGAGAAAATTTACTTTCTTCATCTCATAATTATTATGCAATTATTATTATTATTATATCTATTATAATATATCAATATATAACATTTATCGAAATTTTTTATATTATATGTAATATTAATTATGTATATGTTAAGAAGTCAATGCGTTTTATTAGAAAATGTTTATTATTTTTTCTCTTTTATTTTCCCGAAATAATAATGTGACTACATATATAAATTGATATATTAACTAGAAGTTTGCGGGGGCGGTAAAATATTCAAAAATATCAATTTGGATAATCTCGGAAATGTTTTTGGATCAGGCCGAAATCTTGAAAGTATCTTGTCACATAAGTATGTTCAGTTATCTATCATTTCGAATACATTTTTGTACGTATTTATGTGGCAAGTTATTTTCGAGATTTATTTCGATCGCAATCGTCAGCATATGTTTGTTGCTTTATCAAGTATCCGAAAAAATTATTATAATACACAATATGTATATTTATGACATGAAACAAATCTAATTATACCCGGCGCATTCTCTATAATCAATATTTAAAAAAAACTAATATTTATACATATAAGTTTAATTCATCTTGAAATAAATATTGGATTAATAAGATGAAGATAAGATGAAGAAAGTAAAGAAGGCTTATTTTTTTATAGATTACTTATTTAAAATAGTTTATCTCTCAATGAAAACAAAAAAAGGATTTTAAATGATGTCAAATAGAAATCCAAATTATTAGAGTTTTATGATAAAAATCTGACAAAGACTGATTTAAGTATTTCTTGAAAATTTGTTATCATTGTTTGCCAATTTTGCTTACATAATATGTGCCTAATAAACTATTTTTATGATACTTTTATGTTTTTTTATATATCATATATACTTAAAAAATAAAATTATGGAAAATATGATAAAAATCTAAATCTTTTGTTCTATCAGAAGTGCTCTATAATTTTATTAAATATTAATGTTACAATAATTGAATTTATTATTGTAACATAGTGATATAAAAAACAGATTAATGATAAGGAAATTTATGTTTACCAGACTATGTAATACCACGTAAGAAGAGAATATGTTTGGTTGGTTCAGCTTGCAATGATCCTGCACTTAATGCTGCTGCTCAGCAGTTTAAAGTCCCTGTACTTAAGTCTGAAACTGGAACAGAATATGTCGAAGACACTACCTACTATACTTACTTTGTATTCAAACAATTCGAAGGGTCTGAATATCATACTTTATGCAAAACTCCTCATAGGTTAGTAAATATAATAATATATTATATTCTTATGATAAGACATTTGAAACATATTATATTTATAATTTATAATAGAAAAATTTGAGGTTATCTGTTTTAATTTTTTTTTTTAGAATGCTGGGATCGACAGCTTTGTTGCAATTGGCAGAGAAAAAAGAATCTCTGCCTAGTATTAAAAGACCAATGTTTACACAAGCTATGATAGGTACAGTAGTGGTGTTTAGCGGCTTTCGAGCCAGAGAAGATGAACTGGTCAGTGCACTATTTATACTTAATAAATTTTATGACATTATTAATCTTGATTCAGAATATGTGTATTCCATATTTTTATAACGTAATATTTTTTAACAGCGCAAGTTAGCTAATATGGTCCTAATTATGGGAGGTAGCATTCGAAAAGAGATGGGCATTAAAGTAACGCATCTTATTGCAAATCATTGCAGCGGAGAGAAGTATAGATACGCTGACACATTTGGATTGCCTATTATGTCAGTAGAATGGGTAATAGCATTGTGGAATGCCAAAGATGATGTCTCCAGTTATGCGGACAATGAGGAATTAGTGAGTGCATTTTCTAAATGTTAGCAAATAATATCACAAGATATGGCTTTATATATTCAATACTGCGTAGAAAAATCTCATCGTATTGAATAAAAAATATCACACTTTTATAATATTAATCTGCAGTAATATTTATAATTATTATTTCATGCTTGAAATAGAGAGCTTATTGTAATAATTTATGATTCAAG